TTTGTGAGCAAACCGGTGGAACGAGCCCTGTGCAGCAAACAGTGGGAAGGAGGAAGAATAGACATTTGAACACAAACAGTGGAGCAGCACACGTAGACAGACAATGTAAGACGTTACATGCATATATTCTTTATCCTAAGCAAAAACAAAAAATAGTACGCTGACAAATGAGGACTGAAACTCACTGAGTCACAGTAGTTATAAAAGAAAAATGTCTTCATTTGTGTCCGCTTGACTGTGTTATCCTGCCACCCTTTGGTGTGGTTAAGTTGCGCATGCCAGAAGGAGCCGTAATGAATTCGTGATGCACAGACCGTTCAATTCTTTACATTGTACTTATGCTATTGGTATAGTTTAATAGCACAAGTACAATGTAAGTTTTGTCATCGAGTGCAATTTTCCTGATTTAAACTGAAATAAAAAAAATTTCAATCTGTTATTTTTTTGGGGGGGGGGTGAGACTGGAATGGATTCCTGGTATTTCCATTCATTTCTAAAGGGGAAAGATATGATTGCTTTTAAGTGTGTTGGGGTGTGGGGGTGGACTTGTATCTCAAGGCACCACTGTTTGGTTACTCCCCCCATTGCTTGTTATACCTCACCACGATCAGTGTCAAGCTAAACTCTCCGAAATGACACACCCCTTCTGTTCTTCTCGTGTGAGTTGTCTTACGGCCAAGACAATAGGAAGTGGTGAAAGTCAAACACAGACACACCTCACACACAATGCTCCAACTGGCAAGGTGGGTGGGGGGGTGCGAGAACATCTATTTTTAACTCAGGCACGTCCAGTCGCATTTCAGAGTTTTGTAGACTATGACACGTTTGAGTGGAATCGTTCCGCTATGCGTCACTTTTGACCGTCTTTTTACCTTATTATTATACCTCTGCGCTGTTGATGCTAGGTTCATTAGCTTGTCTATGGAGTTTGCATTGTGTGTTAGCATCAAGCTAGCACACAGGAACCACTGTCCTGTAGTAACCACTGTCCTTGAAAGGGTTAAAGCCACAACTTGGAATTGTTTTTGTTTAGTTTGGATCTTTCTGAGAACAGCCTGTATTTTATGCGTGCAGGCGCTACGGTCGTTCCAGGTGGCCGTCCACCTTCGCCCGTGGGAGCGCGCCCTGTGGCAGGATGACCTAGCGTGGGCGCGGACGCTGTGCCGGCAGAAGGCGGCCGCAAGGGAGAACCTCGGCCGCCAAGAGGAGGCCGACCGGCGGCTCTTGGATGCCCCGGAACTCCAAGGGGACTTTGACTTTGAGTCGGACGAGGTGGTAGCGGCGTGCGAGGCCGTCGCCCAGCGCCAGGCACGCTACCGCAGCCTCAGCGCGGGCGCCCTGGTGGTGGACGCTGCGGGGAATGTGCTGGAATCACGGGAGGGAGCGTCAGGAGATGCGGCGGAGCCCTTGCAGGAAGACTTTGTCAAAATGAGAAGACTCTGAACAGGTATGCATGACGAAATAGGTCAAATCATTGAATGTGTGTGCACAAATAACATATCTTGCCCTAGAACTGTTTCCCAACCAAGGCATGTATTTTACATAAAATAAATATGACACGCTGTAAAAAAAATGTACATGAAAGTATGTACTGATGATGTCATCTCAATTTTATCAAAGATTTTATGACTCAGAAAGCTATTTTGCTGTTGCATGAAAGGCAGCAGGTGTCGACACAGTAGCTGTTATTTTGACCTTCTGCCATCTAGTGGAAGAGCATGTCATTGTTCTTCCTGTCACTATACATCCATTGCATAGATAGAGGAACAATGATACCCGATTTGAATTAAAGACCCTCTAAAGTGAATTTGGAGATTTCTTTCTGAATATGATGTTTGAAAATAAGAGCTGAAAATGTGCAGACTGAGAACTATGTTGGAGTGAATTGTGGCAATTGAGCATTTAGCTGTTTATCCCATTTCAGTTTTCACGATATTTTATGATTTTTTTTTTCTGGGAGCGGGGTGGCTATAATGATTTCCAGTGATGCATTTGGTCACCTATGGGTTGTCCCTCCCTCACTGTACAAAAACCTGAACGCCTTCGTTCACATCAGCGGTTGTCTGGCGTAGTGAGCTAGCCAGCGATTCCTACGCGTTTGGACCAGGGTGGATCCATTTTTAGGGCTCAAACATTTCATCCTGTTTCATCATCAGAAAGATGCTAGACAAAGTCACATCCGTTTTACAGGTCATAGTCATGGTATTTGATTGGCAGTCGAGCGAGGCTTGGTTTCAGTGGATTCAGCGGACACACCCACGGCGTTCGGGAGCTGAGACAAGGGCTTAATTTTTCCCGATTTTGAATGTCGTTTTATAGACATGCCAATTTGTGTAATGATTAAAATTTTGCAGGGTTTGTTAACGAGCTTGTCAAATTTACAAAACACATTTGTTTTCACTTTAGAGGGACTTTAATAAGTCAGTCATATCCGTCCAAAATAGATAAAATTGGTGGCATTGGTTCCTATCACATTTTTATATCATTGTAAAAGTCCAAATGAAATAAATGCACTGAAATCAAAATGGAACGGTTCCTTCCCCCCCCCCCCCTTTTTTGTATGGTTATGAGAAAAGTATCGTTGTCACGTCCTCTTTTGAGACACACCATTGTGTTTTCTTTTTCTTTTTTTTTTCCCCATGTTGCATAACAAGAAGATGAATTGAAGTCAGTTTTTTGTGTGCTGAGTGTGATTGGGGTGAATGGAGCAGCGCCTGGGCGTACACTGCAAATTTTAAATAATTTTCATAAAACTAATAACCCTTCAAAAATGGCACTTAAATCTGCCATTTAAAGATTGAAGACTCAACATCGAAATGAAAATCCTTGCAAAGGATTTGAAAAAAAATTGGTTTCTACATTGCCATGAAAATTGTAATCATTCGGTTGCGGTCTTTCTTTTAAATTTCCCAAATGAAGCCGAAGCTAAACATTTGTAAACTGTTTGTTTTAAATAGGAATGGGCAAGTACCAATAGAAAGTATTGGTATCGGTTAAGAGATCGGGTTCTATTGTATGCTGCCGATACCAGCCATCGATACATCAGGCAAAAAGAAAATCTGATTATTAAGTCCTCCTCGGCAATAGTTGGCGCTATACTTTGGTAGTTTGACAGATCCCCGAATCATCGGCTGTGAAAGAACTATTTTTTTTTTGGTCGTGTTAAAGTGTTAAGTATGAGAGTTATCAATACTCTGCATCGGTGAGTACTCAAAGAGTGGCGAGTACTGGTATCAGTCTGGTAAAAACATCGACCATCCCTCATCTTAAATGAGATCAAAGTGGTGCGTAGCCTTGACAATTTACTAAATCTTGTTGTTTTGTTCATCCACTTCAGGGCAACATCGCCTATTTCACGGCTTGGCCAAAGAGAATTTAGAAGGGAAAATCAATGCTGGCCGTGAAATAAACCTAATCTTAACATTTAGTTGTGTTTTATTTTTTCAATTAATTTTATTTCTTCAGGGCGTTTTGTTTAACAGCTTCAGGACAAGGGCCATCTTGAGTAGTAAGTCAATAGAAAGCGCCTGCGGAGCGAATGGCGGCTGGTTATAAAAAGAGATGAGAGCAATAAAACGCAATCTGACATTCCACGTCAAGATCATACCGAGGTCAAGACGACAGAGGCGAGAGAGTTTTTTGGGGTGGGCAGGGAGGTGTTTGAATGTCATCTTTGTTTCATTCTGACATGTGTTGACTTAACAGATCTCTGTAGATAGCGCCACTGTGTGGCTTTGGATTTGAGCTCAGTCTTAAATTTGATCAGGTCTTCGATGTCCTGCCGACGTCTTTTATGAAGTCGCTATCGCTGTATCAACAAAATAAAAATACAATATGGAAAAAAATACTCTTGACACCGTTTTCCAACTTTATTGTTGCCATAATTCGGTACAAGGGCAAGAGTGGTTGCATTTTCCTGTGCTTTCTTTCAAAATGTCCATTTTCTACAACGACAATGGCGTTAAGCAAAGAAATACAACACATATCGGATGAATCAAAGCAACGCATGCGCTGGTAAAATGGGATTACATGAATCACAAAAACGAACAACTTTCGAGATCTCACCCAGCTGCCTTTCATCGTGAGAGGATTTCATGAACATTGCGAGCGCTCAGCCCCGAAAGCCGTACAAAAGGACCTCAGAATCTCTGCACCTTCTCACGGAGAAGACCATAACGTGCACGTTTTCATACGCAAAATAAATTAGCTTCTTGCAACGGCAACATTCACATTTTAATAGCTTACACGTCACGTAGCACGTAGCTAACGCTCTCAGAAAATAATTCGGGACTTTTAGGAAATTGGGATAGCATTACATTTGTTTTCAGTGAACCCCTGTGGTATCACAGATTTTCAAATGATTTTTTTTTCCTCCATGTATTTATTTTTTACAGCGTACAATCAAGTCCGAATTTTGCGTTACAGGCCTTCAGTGTAGTACCACGCTGTGCCACAACATGGTAGGCAGCACTGAGCTCTACACAAGACGATGATGCAGTGTAGTTAGGAAAAAGAAGAAGAGCCAGACAAGGTAAGGTATGAAGCTGCCGTAATAGTCACTTACTAGCGATGCTAATTTCTGCCACCGTTGTCGACGCACTTCACGAAATGTCGGCACGAAACTCACAGCCTTATACGGTTTTGTTGAACTTTGGTGTTGGAATATTCAGTGTTTGATTTACTTTTTGTTTCATGTGTCAGTTATATAGTCAACATCAGCTGGGATTGACAAACAGCTCGAGGCAAGCACGCGTCGCCTCTCATTTGGAGAACTATGCGAGCGAGAGAGCAAAAAAACACAGGCGCTTAAGGAATGCAGTGACCTTGACGTAAAGCGAAGGTAGGCTTTAAAAAAAAAAAAAATGTACAACGCTAACAGACACATTTGGATGACAAAATTAATATTACACAGTAAAGCCCCGCCTCTTTTCAGGGGAAAGGGACTGTGCGTCATTGTCACCTTCACAGAAAGCTTTATAATTGCCATTAATTCCACATGATGGTGACAAAGCACTACTTTTGTCTGAATGAAGCTCCTGATTATATCTCAACATAGTTGATAAGATTTTGACAAACAATATAAAAACACAATTTGTATTTTGAGGGCTCGATAATGAAAGGGACAGTGATTTCTGTAGACTCATATCTTTGTCAAAAGGAAAAGCTAATTTTCACTTTAGCAAAACACATTAGCAAAACTTCAAATATTTTCTGGAATTGACCAATTTAAAATGTTATCAAAGTTTCTTGTCTTGAAATATTTTGCTCACCCATTTTGTTTTTTTTTAATGGTGTCCTTAATTTATCTGGACATAGTTCTTTGGCACAAAGATGCCCCAAGTACGACTAATGTCCAAATGAAGTGCCTCCATTATCTCAACATAGTTCCTTGGCACCCAATTTTTTTTTTTTTTTTTTTTTTTTAACTGTGCTTGTGTCAGGATTCACTGTACTTGAAAAAAATGTTTTGCTAAGTTGAAATGTGTTTACCGTGTATGGAAAGGTTAAAGTTTTTTTTTTTTTTTTTTTTTTTTTGGTATATGAGGATCCTATATTGTGGATTCTCACCTATTGTAGGTGCGTCTTGAACAACGCGATAAACGGGGGATCACTGTAAATCCAGTCCAAACAAACCCAGAGGCCTCAATGACGAGTGGTCATAAGACCTGCGGTGTATTTAATTCAGTCTTGGTGGCCATTTGAAGCGATGGAAAATATTTACACCTGACAAGATGAACTGAAACCTTCCGTCAGTTTGCGAAGTCTTTGCTTAGATACTTCTCTCCTGGACATTTGCCGTCCCATCCGTAAGCGACACTTGCAAAGCCGGCTTGGAGATATCCGGCCGCTCCCCCTCCGCGGGCCACTTGGGGGCCTCTGTCCGAGTTGCGCTGAACTCCCTCGGGGTCAGTAACATTTGTTCGCCCGGTGAGACGGGACCGCCGTCCGCCCCTTCTCGAAAGGAGCTCGTCCCGCCCTCGGTCGGGTACAGGAAGGTCTGCGAGGTGCACGCCGTCCCTTGGCGTCCCCGCGACACCAGAGACGGCGAGTCCCGCGACACGATGGACGACGAGGACAGGCGGACGCCGGCGCAGCGGAACTGGCCGCCGCCCCCTGTCCGGCCACGTCCCATCTTGCAGAAGAGACATTTGATCTTCTCCATGAGCGTGAGGACCACCGTTTTCCGAAGCAGGATGTACACCCACGGGTCCAGGATGGGGTTGACGGAGGCCATGCGGATGGCCAGCAGGTCTTTGTTGAGCCCCGTCGACTCTTCATTTTGGTTGCTGTACAGCTGGTTCACAAAGATCCTCAGCTGGAGACCAAAAGTGGGAAAACAAAGTGCGTTGATTAGTCCAACAGACAAAAAGAAACAAGTCCCGGGTCCGTTTTTCCAAGTTAGGGTCCCCCGGCACCAAATCTCCTGTTGAATTGAACCGTTAAGTCGTGTCATCATTTTCCGTGACTTCTAATTTCAAATGCAGTCAAATCCCCGGGCCAGGTGTGCGCATGCAAGAAATGATTTTCACAGTCATTGACGGCTTGCAGAAAGGAACGACGACACCAAGGCGTTGATATCAGATAATTGCACAAATTGTCACACTTTTCACATGGAAACAGCCAAAACAGAGCAGAAACAGAAAGTTGAGCAGTAGTGAGGACAAGGCAGCCAGCCAAGCAAAACGGGTCCTTTTCAAACAATCATTCATCACCATTGCCTTCATCCAAGGCAACCCCCTCCCCCGTTCTTGCTTCCACTGATCATTCCTTGGGGTTTTTTTTTTTTTTTTTTTTTTTTTTGGACAAAGGCAACTTTCCAAACGGGCTCTGCGCTCCTCATCTCAAACTCTCAAGTGACAAAAAGTCAAGTCCCTATCACACGAAGTATCAGTCGGTTGGGTTTAGCGACAAAGCGCATGCAGTACGTTTACCATACTGGCATAAAAGTCACCCTTATTTGCTCATGTTTTGCTCCACGTCTGTTGCGAGGTAGGCTTTGCTCTTCCCAATTATTAACCTTGAATAAAGGTTAAATAATAATAAAGTTTGAATCGTTTTTCTGTTTCAATTTTTGACAATCGCGATGATAATCACATTACTGACAGCTTTTTTTGACAGTCTATTTTTTAAAAGCTTTTCAAGCCGTTTTCTGAATATTAAAGTTCACATTTTTAAGAACTCAAGTAAGATGATAAAATGTATGCAGGCGTGATGGAGGCGTCAAGTGCGGTGAATTTCCTGACACACAAAATGCACACGAAAAATCAATTTTAAACGTTTTGTGGTCGCTTTTGATAATAATACGGATGTGAAAGCTTCAGTCATCACGAACAAAAACGGAGTGCGCATACATCCTCAGTCAACCAAAATATTTTGAGTGGCTTAAGAAAGTGACTTCCACCGCAGAGTGCATGTTTGAAGTTTCTTTGAACCCTTTTCAAGGGAGGCTTAGCATGATTGCGCAGCCTTTCGATTGCGCTTTTGCGTGTTGCCAATTTCCAGCGCGTTGGGGAGTACCGGATAAAGCGACTCACCACTAAGGGGATGGAGCAAACGAGCACCACGGCCGAGGTGGCGATGAGCAGGATGACCATCTGGATCTCGGCCCCGGCCAGCCGCCCTAGGCTCCTCCGTCTGCCGAGCTGCGCGCGGGCGGCCGCCCGCCGGCCGCGCTCTTGCGCCGCTCCGAGCGACGTGCGCCGGACGAACCGGCGGTGCATGAGGATGAGCGCGCCGCACACCATGACGTTGCACGCCACCGTGGCCAGCACGACGGCCGCGTTGACGCCGGCGTACATGAGGTTGAAGGCGGCCACCGACGTGCGGTTGCCGCTCGCGTGCCAGTTGATGAAGCACCAGCTGCCCGGCCGCTGCAGCTTGACCTCCCCCAAGCCCATACCCGGCAGCGCGCACAGCCCGGCGTTGCTGACGTAGATGGCGAGCAGCGCCAGCGCCGCCAGCCGCTGATTGACGTACTCGTTGTAGAAGTAGGCGTGGTTGATGGCCAGGTAGCGCTCCACGGACATGGCGCACAGGATGCAAAGCTGCGCCAGGAAGAAGAAGAGCAGGATGAAGCCCGAGTACTGGCACAGCGGCTCGGCGCCGGGCCACTCGCCGCGCATGTACGTGGCGATGGTGACCGGGCTGGCGAGCAACGTGCCCAGCAGGTCGGTGACGGCCAGGCCGCACACCAGCGTGTAGAAGGTGGTCTCCTTTTGCTCCTTGCGCGAGATGCGCAACACCACGATGGCCGTGACGTTCCCCACCACCCCGAAGATGAACATGATGACCGGGATGGTGGGCGGCTGGAAGGTCCGAGGCGGCGCATCGGCGGTGGCGTTCATCTTTCACCTCAATCTTGAATGTGCATCCTCCGTTCAGGAAAAGTCACATCCCAGTTACTTTTTTTTTTTTCTTTTTTTCCCCCCCGGGTGAAATGAAGCGCAAAATCCTGCATGCACGCAGAAAAGTTTCGGATGCTGCGGCACACTCACTCTGCTCTGAGACTTCTGACGACAAGTGGCTGCGGGGCTGCGGGGCGGTTGTTCCCTTCACGCAGCTCCTCCTCCGGCTCCTCCTCGAATGAAGCAACAGCACACGTTGTGTTGGAAGTTGCACTTTCTACTTCACTTCTGCTTTTTGAAAAATAAATAAATCCATACTTTTCCAAAGAAAAATGTCCACATATGTGAAGCAAGTTGTTTTAGCTGTCTTTGCAAATAACTAAGAATTACGCTTAAAACCAAAATTGCACATTAGCTTTTTCTTTTCAGGCATGGCTTTTTGATGCTTTTTTTTTTTTTTTGTGGGTCTGCTCTTAATAGACCCATAGCTTCCAAATTTCACGTTGCTTCGTCAAACTGGCTTCTTATTGTTGTATTATTTCAATTCCCAAGCGAAGATGTGATGCTAGCTGTTGGCTAGCACTGCTAGTGAAGATAGCCCTACGACAACCACTGCAGGATTTCGATATATGTAGAAATGCTTCGGTGTAAGAAAGTTATTAGAAATATCGTCATTTTCAGACTATAAAGCCCAGCAGATTATAAGGCGCTGTCTCAATGAATCGTTCAATTTTGGGAAATTTCGAAATATACGGCGCACCGGGTTATAAAGTACATGAATGCAAATTAAAGGAAACGAACCAGTACAGCTAATGAGTCAAACTTTATTTAACTTCAATTCACCCTACATAAGGGGCACATGATCAAAAGGCGCGCTCTCGATTTTTGAGAAAATAAAAATTTAAAGTGCGCCTTATAGTCCGAAAAATACTGTCGAATCTAATTCTCGTTTTCTTTTTAACGCAGATTTTCATCACGACGGATGGATCTGGAACTCCCGTTAATGTTGATCAAACCCACGACTCGCCCACTCAATCAACTAAAAGCTGCCGGAATGTCCTGGCAGCAAACACGAATGCCTCAACGCCCCAGGGTGCAAGCCTGTGCTGCCTCGGGGACTCATCGCCCCCAATATTTGAGGTTAGTTTTATTTCGTGCGGGTATACTGACGTATGTCATCAAAATGTTGACTGTGTGCAACCGCTGCGGAAAGGCACTTCGACCGACTCCCGTCCCATCCTGGGAACGCCGGAGTTCTCCATTTGCACTCGGCGGGATCGGGTCATGTGACAAAAAGGCCTCTCCGGGGAGCCGATCAAAACACCCCCTGTTGAAATTTACTGCCTCCCGAAACGCACTTGCACCTCCGTCCTGCGCAGTGACTTTTCCCATTGCCTGGGAAAGTTGTTTGTTTACGTACACGTGCCCCCATTATAGGATCTCAGAAGTTTATTATTGTATTTTATTTTATTTTTTTGTGGCTTCATTTTACCCCGCCTGTGACCAAAAGTTAGCTGTGACGAATTTTAATGAGGACAAGCGATGCATGGATTGTTATGGGGGGGGGGGAAAAAAGCACAGAAAATATGAATTCAATACATTTCCAACAAGGATGCTGAAGTGCACACCCCCCCCACTCCCCTGCCGTCACCCCCCCCTCGCCCTCTTCCAAATCCAAATAAGACAGCCAGCCACGAGAAAGACAAGTCTCGATGTGTCGACGCCGCTTGCCAAGTCGAGCAAGATTCCTTTCAAAACAAAATGATGGACGTTGTAAATGATGGTGAGTTTCCAGTTCGTCATTTGTTTCCCATGATGTCGGCATGGGTTGACCACCCCGGGCCGGCCCCGCAACCACCCACCCTCCCGTCCCTGCGGAGTCAGGTTACTGCCCCACCGTGCTGGGTTAAAGGTGGAACTCCAAGGAAGGGGATGCGTCCAGGATTTAACACCAGTAAACATTTTTAATGTCATGTCAGGAGAAATGTGTCGAACTTGAAAGAATCGGATGACGACTAGTGGGATGTTGAGTCGTTGGGGTATCTCTGTTTTACTTCAGTATTCTTTTTTTTTCGGATGGGGTTTAACTTCTACGCTCTATTTTTGAAAAGCGATAATTGTGCTTTCTATTCTGTACTTTTGTTTAAAAAAAAAGACTTCATGCCCCACCATGGCCCTATCTGTTGCATTGAAGAAGCGCTACTGCACCTGTCAAAACGTATAATGAGAGTCAATGGGTCAAGGTTTGTGTGCCTCAAGATCACACAACCAAAAAGAATGAAGCAATTCATCATCCATATTTTTGAAAATTTTTTTTAGAATAAATATATATTGATATTTAATTCTTTTAAGAACAGCCGTTACTACAGTGGACGGCTTATCATGTTATCAGGTTACAGGATGCATGAAAGGGTTAAACAACGTTTAAAAAAATAAATAAATACATTTATGGACAGAAGTCAACAGTGAATGAGATCTTGCAAAGATGTGAAAAATAGATCATTTCTGAAATGTTGCCGGTAAATTTCCACAAATCAGCAAAATTGGACATTAGAGCCGATCACAAAATGTGCATAAAATACAAAATATCCACCGATCCAACATTAGCCGATCACATGGGTGGAACATCCAGTTTTATGTCCTCTTCAGTCAATTGTTTTGAATTGCGAGTAGCTGTTGCGAACTGGTTTTGTGAAAAATTGACCTCAGTAAGAACGAGCACAACATATCTTGTCTAAATACTGCTTAATCCTTGCTCATATAATCTGATTCATACTTTACCCGCAGAGTTGGATTCAAAGAGTGACGTATCTCCGCTAATTAATTTCCATGCCTTCAAATCTGCACACGCTCAATTTGCATGGCCCGAGGATCTTTCATGCTTCATTTCATAGTCGGCATGATACTTGGATTTTTACGGCATTGTTTTGGAAAAAGGCTGGCGCGGTGTACTAGTGGCTGGTACATCTGCCTCGCAGTCAAGAGGGTCCCAGGTTTGAATCTGGGCTCAAGTGTCTCCTCTGCTCGGCCTTATTGTCAGGAATAACTTTTGAACGAAAAGTAAGACAGGGATGAAATAAAAAATTTTAGCGATGTTCGGTCCTCAATTTGTTATGAAATTTAACCTCTCCGTCTGTCCTCCACTAACTTTATCCACCCAAAAGCAGTACATTATCCAAACACCCCCCCCGAACGAAGGACTTTTAGCATTTCTCAATGCTGACTCAGCGCCTGTTGATGGAGCGTACAGCCCGTCTCGCTATCTGTAACACTCCAGCTTAAAATGGAAAGCATATCTCGTCATGCTGCATCGTCCGCCGCTGTTTCAGATTCAGACACTCGGCCCCTCGGTTGCATTTGTTCGCTCAGTATTTCAGGACCCCCACAACGGACACGTGACAACGTACATTCATTGCCGGCCATTTTTGAGTATATGACCGATCTTTCAACACTCACACAGACTACTGTATTGTTTCGAGATTTTTCCATTCTTTCGTCATCAGCACTACAACATAGGGTTGGTTTCACCAAAACGTTTGTGACTACATAGCAGAGAAAATATTTTGGGGTGAAAAGAAACATGCTCAGCACAAACAGTGATTTGGACGCCCATTTTTTTTTTCCATTTTGTGACATCTCAAACTGTAAAATAACAACACCGAGAAAAACTTTTGAGCGGAAATAATTTATTTGCAGACTACGAAGCGAGCTGACTCACCACGTGGCTCGAGTTGGACATCATTGGCCTGTTGGCCTTCCCTCCATTAAGTGCGGCATCTTTACTCGCCCTCACAAGTCACGACACTAACTTTCTAGTACATACTGCAACATACTACGTTTCCACCACACATACACTGTTCCAAGTGTCAGGCACCTAAACTTGCCCAACTTCAAGCCAGCATCTTTTCTCTCCCTCATAATCAATGTGACACACCAAGTCTGACCACCTAATCTTTATTTTCTACTCAAAAGCTGTGCTGATCTCAAATCAAAAGTAATGGAACACCTGCATTTGCATCGATCCAGTTGATGAATATCAATGTCTGTCAACAACGTTTCCATTGCTTTGCTAACATTGTGAAGTGACAAGCAAAAAAAAAAAAAATGCTAGATTAGCTAAAGCTAACAACTGACAACGTACACCTTACTTGTGAGTGCATGTTGATTTCTTTTCCAGATGAGAGAGATTTTTTTTGAACACCAGAGGCTGTTGTTTTTTTTTTTTAGGCTGGCACAAGACACAACCCATCGTTCTTGCAGCCCACCAATCTCGCCTGAAAAATGTACTTGAGTCCAGTACGGAAGTAATATTACTTGGTTACTTCCTAATCAATGGCAAGTTTTCCCCCTGCGGCCGCAGCTATAATTACCCTCATCGGCTCCGCATTCGGCTGCAGTTTTTAGCATAAGCTTTAGAGGAACAAGTCCTGACACTTGCAAACTATTTCCCCTTCGGGAGAGCAAAGAAGTGCATACCTAACGTCCCGCAGCGTGTGTGAGTTTGTTCATGCGTTCGTGTGTGTGTATGTGTGTATGTGTATACAAGAGGGAAAGTGAGGTAACTTATTTTTCATATGAAGACTGAATTATGGCACATGCCAAAAGTTTGGAATGTGCGTGGAACAAACATGCCTATTCTTCTTCAACTGCTTTGTGAGCCACTGTTTACACTAAAGCATTTTGTTTGTGTAAACTCTTAACGCTTAATTTGGGGGTTGGGGGCGGTAAATGGATTTATAAGGATTTGGGGGGCACACTTGCTGGGGTCCTGACGACCCTCCCTGGAACAGGACGTCATTCCCTGACAAGTATACACCTCCTTGAAATAATCGTTTTCCTTTTCCAATGTGGGGCGGGGACAGGGGGGGGGGAGCGAATTTCATGTTAAAGAGCAGTCAAAACACAGGGTTAGGGTTCAGCTGTTCTTTTTGTGACATATTTTTGCACTTTCTTGCAGAAAACGGAATGTTTCCGCAAAACAGCCCCGAAGCATGATGCCGCCACCGGCGTGGTTCATTGTAGGTGTGCTGTGTTGTGTTTGTGCTAAACATACCTTTTGGTGGGGGAAAAAAAGCCATGAAAAGCCTACAAGACCATCTAAGCTTTATTTCGGGTTAATTTGAGGCACTTTGAAAGGTGGCAGGTGTTTATTTCCATTTAACGTGTTTGTGATTGGTTAATTCTGAACATAGCCACATCCCCCAGATAAGAGGGTGTGCATACTTA